GCTATGATGGTGTAGCCGTAGTCCGTATGAATCTTTTTCTTTGTATCTTCTAACAAGGATACAATACTTAGGTTTTTAAGATCCGGTTGCGGTTCTAGTTGTTATACTAACTCATACACATGACATCTAGTCATATTTGACTCCTAGAAACTAACCAAGCTTCTTCTTGCTTCTCAAATCTTTGATTGTGTAGCCGAAGTCCTTATGAGTTGTTGGCTTTGTATCTTCTAACAAGGAAACACTACTTAGGCTTATAAGATCCGATTGCGGTTCTAGTTCTTATACCTAATCAAACAAATGATATCAAGTCATATTCAACTCCTAAACATTAACCAAGCTTCTTCTTGCTTCTCAAAGCTTTGATGATGTAGCCGAAGTTTGTGATAATAAGTTTTAATCAATTATCCTAAAACATCAATCATGTCGTTGTAGTATTTTAGGTTGTCAATCCAAATGGGTGTGATGCTAACAATCAAGATGCAATCAGAGTTCACAGAGTCAAGCCAAGCAATAACAGGTTTTGGGGTTTCTAACAATTTGTTGCCAAACAACTGGGTGGTCGAGTATCAGAGTGATAACATGCAAAAAACTGAAAAACTAAACAACGAGCAGCAAGAAGCAGTAAACGATAGCAGTGTAAAAAAGAAGTCAATTAGATGAGAAATTCCCGAGGATGGGGTAATTGAGTAGTTTGTTTCCTCAGTTTACAGGTGATTGACATGCTCAATAATCTATTCCTAGACAACAAGTTCAATAACCAAATCTAAGTGCCACCGCAATAGAGACCCTCAAGTTAAACTAGTCCCAGACTCAATCACCATTGACGAGAGCTAACCTAATAGGCATTATGAATCAACAAGTGATTGCTCGAGTGAGTGATGATGCTGATACTCGAGTGTCTTGTAGAGTGCGGAATCGAGAAGACTTTGAAGCTGGTAGTCGAGTATGATGTCAAGTGGTGGATGATGGTGGAACACGACTTCGTGGTACAGTGATTGGTCAAAGTGAGTGATGATGGTGATACTCGATCTGTTGGTAGAGTGACTGGTCGAGTGAATGATGATGGTGGGACTCGACTTCGTGGTAGAGTGATTGGTCGAGTGAGTGATGAAGGTGATACTCGACCTGTTGGTAGAGTGATGGGTCGAGTGAATGATGATGGTGGGATTCGGCCATGTAATCGAGTGAGAGATCAAGTGATGGTGATGGTGATGCTCGATCGTGTAGTCGAGTGATGAATCGAAGTGATGAAGGCAGCCACTCAACCAGGGGTCGAGTGGTGTTGTGAAGTCGTGAAGTCATCTACTCGACCAGGGGTCGATTTGTGTGTTGTAAAGGCTGTGGTCCAGTACTTCAGGAAGTCCAGGATGACGGTACTCGAGCAGCGTTGGTAGAGTATGTTGATTTGATCAGGTCTACTTCTTCCAATTAGCTCAACAACAGCTCCAAATTACCTGAAAACAACACAAATATGCAATATGCATGCAAAATTATCCTTAACATGCAAAGTGATGACAAATGATGAGAAATGATATAAAAAATGGTGATATGATGCTAAAGTGATGACAAATGGATGCTCAAAACACGTAAAATGCACACTTATTAACTCCCCCAAACTTAGTCTTTGCATGCCCACAAGCAAATAATTAAGAACAAGCTGGAGGTGAGGTTTGAAAGCGGGGACTCAGAACCAAAGCATGAGATATGACAATTAAGATCAATGTATAAGCTAACAGTTCTAAGATGCGAGGTGATCGACTTCTACTTAAAAACTTTAGTCATGCTCTGTTATGATCCAAATTCACACTCAGTTGCATAATACGTCAAAATCAACCAATCCCTTTAATATTCATTACGTTCAGGATCATGAATCAAGATATGCATCGCTAGTGAACACATTAGGCTAAGGACGGGTTATGAGACTAAGATGGTCCCTTTAAGATGGTTCAGACTTTAATAACAGGGGACTCTCAATGAAAAGAGACTGAGTTTTAGAAGAATGCTAAAGGTAAATGCCAACCTATGCATACAAGAATAGCACCCCATCTACCCAATAACATAAACCGTGAATAACAAGAAGATGGTCTTATCTCTAAACCCAATGATAATCCTAAGTCTACCCTTTTGCACTAAAGGCATATTTCGATTTTTGTTTTCTTGGATCAACTCATTTCTTTGGCTCTTGTTCTTAAGGAGAAGTTTTTCTTAAACACTATTAGTCTTGTCTAGTGAATTGGGTTTTTCTTAAACTCTAATGGCTCTTATGATTTTTTTTTTCTTTTCTTTTCTGTTTTTGTTGCCATTTTTTTTTCTAGATTATATTTTATCAATTATATGCTTCCCAAACATTCACGAGCCCTCAATATGATTTTCAGCTTCCTTCTCCTAAAGATTCTAACCCGTTTTATTTCTTTTTCTTTTCACTCTCAATCTCAATCCCCAAATAAGTTCCCACCTAGTCCTACCAAGTCCGAAAACGTGGATTGGAACTACATGGGATACTACTCTTGTCGATTTAAACCTAACACGTTCTACCAAGCTCAATCCTGAAAATAGGCCTCACATGCTCTCACTAATAACATGGCTTGAAAGAATGGTTGGTTAAGGGTGGAGAAACTACTCCAATAATAGAAGCAACTACTTGGATTAGCAAGAGTGGTGAATAAGTGAAAGAAAATCCAAATATGTATTCTATCCATGAGTTCAAAACTTATGCAAACATGATAATTGTAAGTCAGATTCAAATTCAAATTCACAGGAAAAGGTGTCATGACATGCAACGAGTGGTTTCTATAGAACATGGTGCGGTTTTACTTCAAAGTCACTCAAATGCATCAGAGAACCAGTAACTCATTTGGTGAATCATCATGCTTACAAGGTCATCTCCTCATTATCTTCTATGAATATGCAACAATCCTAAATGAAACACTCTAGACTCGATCTTTAATGTAATGCAACTACATGAACACTCTGTTTATATGAAATCATTTTCTGAAATTTTTCAAATTTTTTTGGTTTTTCTATGCCTTAGATGAATGCAAACTCAAGAGTATATACAATTCAACACACACTTCCTGAGTCCTCCCCCAAACTTAAATCACACAGTCCATTGTGTGACCAAATTTTGAAGAGGGTACTCAGGACAAAACACATCACAGAAACAAAATAAATACAAGAGATGATATAGTACAATGGTCAAGTGAGGCGCTTACCTCAGTCGAAGAATGAACGCAGTTGGTCGTCAATGGCTGCCTGTGATTGCTCTCAGGCCATTGAAGAGTTGCCCTATTCTGTCTCAGCTCCAGCATGTGTGTATTTGATCCAATATGCGAGTTCCCCTTATTTACTCTCCAAAAAGAATAAGTCTAGGGGAGAGAAAGAACAAAAAAAATAATAAAAAAAGAATGGTCAATTTATCATGGTATAGTACAGGAATGAGTCTAGAAGGATCTTAAATGTTAGCTTGTTTGTTGAGACCCAGCGATGAAAGCCTTGTGGATATAGTTGTGGAACTTAGGTATGAAATTTAGAATGTTATGTAAGCTTACAGAGAAGTACATGGTTGTTAGGATTTGATTAGAACTGCTAGGCATATGGCTTTGGTTAGAATGATCAAGGCAATAGACTAGAGAATGTTGGGAGTTCCTGTGTTTTCAAACCTCTTCCACGGGTTCGGCTTTTGTGTTTTGCTTGAGGGCAAGCAAAAGCTAAGTCTGGGGAAGTTGATATATTCCTATTTTTACTGTCTTTTAACTATGTTTTAGGTATAGGTTTTAGAGTCTATTTGTTATTTCTAGAGTCTTTTCTAGTCTTTTTCAGGTCTTTACATGTTTGGGATTCATTTGGAGATAATGGAGCATTCTGGAGGAAAACAGAGAATTTATGCTACTGATGAAATCCGGAGACGAAAATGCACGTAGGTGTCGAGCGACACCAATACCTGACGGCAATTTTGAGACGCAACTTATGTATGTTTTGAAGATTTCCAAATTTGGCCCAGAACTTTTTCCTATGTTTAATGAAGGCCCATCACGTGAGAAGATTCTTCTTAACTCTATTCTTCTCTTGTTTTATTCATTGATTTCTTATTCAATCATGTTTTGTTCTTCTATGATCATGCTTGAGTAGTTTTCTTGTTAGGTTTAGGGTTTCTCATTAGGGATTTAGAATATTTAGTAGATTGTCCACCTTGCTAGCTTTTCTGTTAGGATTCTTCATCTTTAATTGTTCTTAATGCTAGTTCTTGAGTAGCTAACTAGAACTTGAATCCAGACAATAGGTATGCCCACCATAGGTATCTGTAGTTCGATCTATTATTTGATAAGTCTTGTTTATAGGTGTGTAATAAGAATCGGCCTATCTACTAAGGTGAACAATTAAACTCGTTTAGAATGCATGTTTAGGTTAAAGATCTCTCGGCTTCTCCGGTTATTCTTAAGCTACAAACATAGGGAGTTTTGCGGAACACCACCGGTTATTCCATAATTAGAGTTTGAGTTTAAGAACGGTTCGATAACAACCTAGCTATCACTAGATCTAGTAATTATCTATCTCCTGAGAATACCCTAAACCTGACTCTTTTCCCATCTTATTGACATCTTGATATTAATTGCTTTTCTTTATTTCTTATTTTATAATCTATTGGTCTAGCTTGTTTGAAAACATCATAAGTCTATCGTGTGAACATCGAGAGCTCAGTGGAATTCGACCCTTAAGTACTAACGACGATCTCTTATTAGAGGGAGTAAGCTTAAGGTAATTTGAGCTATATCAGCGGCCAGCACCGCCATGAGTATACTCGACCTCCCTTCTTCTGCTGCGGCCAGCACCGCGGTCGAGTGATCTCCTCGCGTGGATAAGGCATTATCTTCTGCTAGATCGAACGACGAATGTCTAGCAGGGACATGTGAGACTCTCTTCTCACTAGGCTCAGGCCTGTGGTGACTTGCCTTAGGCTCATCAAATCTCCTTGATGGCATGTCCTGAGGAGGTTGTCCCTGCGGAATAGCAGTAGTGGAAGTGGAGTAGATTAGCTTGTCTTTCAGAAACTTGATAGTCTTTAGGCACATAAGGAGTAACTTATCTTGTTACTTGCACCACTTCTGCAACATGCTGTTGTTTTTGTGAGCTTCACCCAAGCTCATACTCTCCCTCGCTAGAGCTACATGCTCACTGAAATAGTTCATGTCCGAGTCATACTTCTCCTCATCTATCTCACCGATCTCATCCTCAGTAGCTTCTTCTGTATGAACATCCTCATATGTTGGTTGAGTATTCTCAGAATAGAGATTCTCAAGATCAGGCTTGAAATCAATGTTATCTCTCTCTATTATGCGTGTAACGTAACCTCAGGATTGAGGAGAAGGATGTTGGCTTTCTTATCTATAGAGTGCTCAAACTTGAAACGATGCATTTCACCAACCATTGCGAACTACATGATTTTGCAGTGATGTAGGTGCTCGATATCCATTGCCCGTGGCTCAAGTCCATCAGATGTGATTGGGATTCCACAAGCGATCACAATCGGTGTCACAACACCTCCTATGCAAAGAGCGCCTCGTGCTCTCTTGTGGTTATTGCTGACAGCCCAGCTCTTATATCCACACAAGTGAATCAGAAGAGGTATATAGAGAGGTGTGTCATTGGTTTCACCTTGGAGAGACATACCGTTCTTGGTTTGGCGGAGAGTGCCATTGAGAGCCATAGCGATCATCTCCATATCGGAATTGGTGACAGTCCCTGTTATCTCTCGGGAGTAAAGGACATTGGCCACAGAACACTGGAAGTACCTGATGACAGGACTGTGTATCTGGTTGCTTTTGGATCTAGAAGAATTCAGCGGTACAGAGCTGCCAATGGTGATCCATAATTCCTTTAACTTTTCTCTGTCAAACTTGGGCTTAGTTCCCATTCCATTAGGGAAACCAAACAATCCTTCCAAACGCTTGATTGACATCATGTAATCCTGACCATACACATAGAATCTCAGGAATCCTAATCCCTCACTTTCCAAATCATCAGAGGTCATACCTTGGTAAAGCTCAACTTGCAGTGTGGAGAGGAACTGAATCGTTTCTTCCTCGTAGGCCACATTTGGGTAAGCCATCAGAGTGTCCAGGTGACAACTCCGGTACATGTGCTGAACATCATTTGTAATCCAAGCTATGCCAACGTAGTTGAGTAAGGATATCTTGTACTACAGAACTCATTCAGCTTGAAGAGTCTGATATACTCCTCAGCTGGTAATACATCAGGCTTGTGCAAAAGTTTTGTTGCTCTGTGAGAATAATCAGGCATATACTCGACCTCCAGCTCCTCATCTATCAACTCATACTTCTCTGTCATTGCTCTCTTCCCTCGAGCTATCTCAGCTTTTCTCCTGAAATTATCATATTCTCTTTGTTCTCTTTCTCGTCTAGAAGATGAAGACTCAGCCTCATCTATGTGATAGTCAGGATCCATTGACGAACTGTCACTGTAATTGCTCATGATAGTCCTGAAAAAGATTTAGAACACAAAGCTCAAACGTCAATGGGTTAGTCTCAGAGAAAACCACAAAACTGGAATTGTTCTTAAAAGGCAACGAAATGGACCAGTGATCGAGTATCTCTTCAGTAAACCGGAATTAACAAACAAGGAACCCTTAATCGATGGTCGAGATTTCTTGAGGTTTTGTCGGCTTCGAGGTAGATAGAGTTAGACAAAAGTTACTCGACGGAGAGCTCGACGGCGTTGCAGCGGTCGAGTATAGTGGTTGAAACCGAATAACGGAGATGGTGAACTTGCTAACAGTGGTGAGGCGGTCTTGTCTCATGATGAAATCGAGTGATTCTTGAGGGAATGAGACGGTGAACTCAATGGTGAATGAGACGGTGAACTCAACTGTGGCGGCCTAGCAGTGGTCGAGTATCTTTGGACGTCGAGGTCGAGTATGTTTGGACGAGAGAGAGATGTCGATTTGTGGTGAATGAGAGAGGTTGGAGTGTCGGTGGTGGAAGATGAAGAGAGATGGGAGGTCACTTTTAGTGTTTGGAGATAAGGAAAGCGATTTCAAAAGGTGTGGTGGAGAATGAATTTGTGATTCTCTCTCCATCTTATCCTTAAGGAGAAAATTTGTGTGGTCCACGCTCTGTTGACTTGTCTTTAAGCTATGTTCACTGTTGACTGGAAAAACCTCAGGAAATCCCAAAATCCTCTATAAATCTCTGTTGGTCGAGTATAATGTTTAATCGTTTGATCGAAACAACATTATACTCGATTTCCACCCCTGGTCTCCACATTTCTTATGTTGGTCGAGTACTTGGTCGAGTATGAAGGCTCAGAATCATCAAACTTACTCGACCACATTTCCTCATCAACATGTGGTTAGTGTGATCGAGTGACATGTTGAACCTCCAAGTGAAACACTCGATCTCTACAGCATGTGGTCGAATGACTCTTTGAGGTTGAATCCATTACACTTAAACATTGGCAGTTATCTCCTGAAAACACTAGTAAAATTCATCAAAAATAACTAGGAAAACAAAAGTATGTACAGAGAAAGGCATGAGACTTTGTAACGCCCGCAATACTCAGATCGGGGCCTTTCAGACTTCCTCCCAAGTGAGCTTGTTTTAAGTCAGTAGCTTGACTACCATACTCTTTTAACCATCAAGAAGTTCCTGGAGATGAACTGAAGTCACCTCTGGAAGGATTTGATCTGCTAAGTATTTCTTGAGCCTTTGACCATTTATTGTGAAATCTCCACTCTTACCAGCTAATGTGACTGCTCCATAAGAATGGACTTCAGTGACACAGAAGGGACCAGGCCATCTAGACTTAAGCTTTCCTTGAAAGAGTTTCAAACGAGTTAAATAGCAGCACTTGATCACCAACCTGGAAATCCTTGGTGATGATCTTCTTGTCATGGAAAAGCTTAGTTCTCTCCTTGTAGATTTTAGAGCTCTCATAAGCTTCTAAACGGATCTTATCAAGGTCACTGAGTTGGATCAACCGCTTCTCCTTAGCGGTTTTTATGTCGAAGTTCAGGAGTTTAACCGCCCACATAGCTTTGTACTTGAGCTTAACAGGTAGGTGACATGATTTTCCATAGATAAGATTGAAAAGAGTTGTACCAATGGGGGACTCAACAGTCTTGGTTTAGTATCCTTCTTGGCATACTGATGCCTCCAAGCTGCATGGTCTGTATAGACAATGACCTTGGATCCAACCAAAGTGGTACCTGTATCAAGAATACATCAAGACAAACACACAGTTAGTTCCGGAAATCAAAATTGAAAAAGAACTTGATCTAAGCAAGTCTGAAATCTTAAATGTAACAAACAAACACCCAATTGGCAACGGCGCCAAATTGATTATAGGTTTTTAAGAACAATTAATCCTAAAGCACTATCATGTCGTTGTAGTACTGAAGGTTGTCAATCCAAATGGGTGTGATGCTAACAATAAAGATGCAATCAGATTTCACAGAGTCAAGCAAGCAATAACAGGTTTTGGGGTTTCTAGTAGTCCTAAGTGAACTTGTAGGAAACAAAAATTCAAAAAGAACAGTAAAACACTTGACCAACACAGCTTGTTGCCAAGCACTGTGTGTGGTCGAGTGACAGGTCGAATAACAGACAGAAAATGTAACATGAATACTCGATTGCATAGTCTATTGCCAGAAAACTAGGTGGTCGAGTATGAGAGTGATAACAGGCGAAAATTTCAAAAACTAAACAAAGAGCAGCAAGAAGTAGTAAACGATAGCAGTGTAAACAAAGAAGTCAATTGGATGAGAAATTCCCGAGGATGGGATAATTGAGTAGTTAGTTTCCTCAGTCTACAGGTGATTGACATGCTCAATAAACTATCGCTAGACAACAAGTTCAATAACCAAATCTAAGCGCCACCGCAACAGAGACCCTCAAGTTAAAGTAATCCCAAACTCAATCATCATTGACGAGAGCTAACCTCACATGCATTATGAATCAACAAGTTAAAGCCAAAACGCTCCATGTAACCAATACCTTGGTACAAAGCCACGAATCTCTGGAATTAGTGGTTCAGACATTTCATCGAACACCTTTTGGGTGCAGAAATGCATGGGCTCAAATTCCAGTTGATCAGAAAGCAATAGGCATTAAAAACAACTAAACCAGCTTCTAAAAATCAAACTCAACCACCTAAGAGACAGAGGATTCTAAACTACTCTAACCCATCCTCAGAAACCTAGTCACTACTCAGACATCATTGAAGAAAACATAAACGATGACAAGAATGAAAACATGATAGCAGAAGAGTAATAGCAAGATGATAACAGGATGAACAACTTAGTAAAATAAACGAAAAGCGAATACTGAATAGATTAAGAGAAATCCGGATTACAAAAGCAAAGAACATACAAACTGTCTGCGGAATATAAAACTTGTCTTCGAAAATATAAAGTACATGCTATTTATAGCGAAATATTCTGAAACCCTAATCCTCAAAATGACATTGTATTAGAACGGATTAAGAACGGTACTCGAGCAGCATTGGTCGAGTATGTTGATTTCATCAGGTCTACTTCTTCCAATTAGCTCAGCAACAGCTCCAAATCACCTGAAAATAACACAAATATGCAATATGCATGCAAAACTATCTTAAACATGCAAAGTGATGACAAATGATGAGAAATGATATAAAAAAGTGGTGATATGATGCTAAAGTGATGACAAAGGGATGCTCAAAACACGTAAAATGCACACTTATCAGTTTGTATGAGTCTTTGTCTTTGTATCTTCTAACAAGGATACAATACTTAGGCTCTTATGATTCGGTTGCGGTTCTAGTTCTTATACTCAATCATAGACATGACATCTAGTCATATTTGACTTCAAAAAACTAACCAAGCTTCTTCTTGCTTCTCAAAGCTATAATGGTGTAGCCGTAGTCTATTTGAGTCTTTGTCTTTGTATCTTCTAACAAGGATACAATACTTAGGCTTTTAAGATCCGGTTGCAATTCTAATTGTTATACTCACTCATACACATGAGATCTAGTCATATTTGACTCCAAAACACTAACCAAGCTTCTTCTTGCTTCTCAAAGCTTTGATGGTGTAGCCGAAGTCCGTATGAGTCGTTGACTTTGTATCCTCTGACAAGGAAACACTACTTAGGCTTTTAAGATCCGATTGCGGTTCTAGTTCTTATACTCAATCATACATTTGACATCAAGTCATATCTGACTCCCAAAAA